GGAAGTTTCAGGATTTCAAAGCTTTCCCTGGAAGACTTGTAAGCAGAAAGAAACAGTGTTTATTGAGCTTGACAAAGTTAACAAATTGTGAAAATTTCCAAAGCTAATTGTTGTTTTTCTAAAAAATTGCTTTGATATGTTGACAGTTTTAATTAGGATCATTAAATACAGAAATTCTTAGGTTGCAAAGAACACCAGAACTACCCACTGATGTGCTGATGTGTTGTATCTTAATCATATCATGCAAAATGAGACCATTATGCAATGGGGCTGTTTCACAAACTTTCATGGAACTTAATACAATGTGAGACAGTCTTTTGAAAAATTTTATCAACCATAAAAAAGAAGTACTGTGGAAATATATAAAGGGACTGGCTAATTCTCATTGAGAGAATTGGGATCAGCTTCAGAGAGGAAGTGGCATTCGAGAACATTCTGGAAGGACAGTAGGATTTTTTTGACAAAGTCCTTGGGGAGAAGGCATCATGGGCTGAAAGTGACAATATGGCTGGAAAGCAGAGCACAGGATACAGGAGGAGCTAGAAATTGGCTTGACTGTGGCCTGTGAACATGGAGAGAGACTCAGTGGAAGGTAAGTCCAGGGAGGGAGGTGACAGCCAGCATGAAGGCTCCTGAATGCCAGCTCGAGAACTTGTAATTTCTATTCTTGGTTCTGATCAGTGTTTAGAAAAATTTATGTTAATAATATGGAGGGAAGAGCAAGAAGGGGAGAAATACTAACAGCAGATTAGAAGGAGGTGACTGGCATGGTGTTTTCAGGAGGGGAGATGTTGACTAGAGCCAGCACCGAGAGATGTGGGGGAGATATTGAGACTCCCCTAGAATGTGAAGAGGAGGTTTTACAACTTCCAGAGGGAATAAAGTGGGGATCACAGGTGTGCAGGTCTCTTTGACCCTTCCCCAGATGGGGAACAGAGGAAGTTTGAGATAGATGCCATTTGACGAGCCAACACATGGATTCTCCCTCTCTGTAGAACATTCTTGCAAACTCTCAAGGGAAACCAATTCTTCTTGTTGTTAAAGTTTCATCATAGGGGCGCCTGGGTGGCTCAGATGGTTAAGCGTCTGCCTTCGGCTCAGGTCATGATCCCAGGGTCCTGGGATCGAGTCCCGCATCGGGCTCCCCGCTCTTTGGGAGCCTGCTTCTCCCTCTGCTCTCTCTCTCTCCCTCTCTCTCTCTCTCCTCTGTCTCTCATGAATAAATAAATAAAATCTTTAAAAAAAAAAAAAAAAGTTTCATCATAGATTTATGGGGAGGGCGTTGACAAAGTTGTGGCATAAATTGTTCTTCAAGTGCCAACTGTCCCCACCAACAAATCACTAAGGATTCTCTGAGATTTGCAGTTGTGGCATTATTGATTTTGTACCTAGCCTTGGATGCACTGAGCTGAGTCTCCTCTGCGGCTGCCGCCCTGCCCCATCTGATCACCTCGCTTGTACCTGGAAAAGTCCTGTTCTTTAGTGGGATTAAGTCACCAAGGTCCGCATAGGTAAACACTCCGGGTGTCCCCCAGAGAGCTGCCCCATCTGCTCTGGCTGGCTGATGCTTGGCATTTTGCTCCAGGCACTTCTCTCTGTAACTCTGTCATTGACATCCCCACTCTCCCAGTCATGTGGCCCTTCCTTCATTCATTGACTCATATGCATTTAGCAAGACTTCGCTGGGTGCTTACAGGCTGTCTGTCTCACTGGGGGGCCAGTCTAGCAGTGAATCCCACAGGCATGTCCTTGGTGGGGAAGACTGGGAATTGTAAAAGCCTATGAAGCATACTGTGATGGGGGGGATCCACAGGGTGCTAAGGGAACACACGGGAGATATGTCTGGAGCAATTCTGGGAGGAAGTGACCAGGTGAGAAGTTCAGTCACCTCTGCTAGGTCAGTTCTTTCCTTTCCATATCTTCCCATAAAGGAACATTTATAATAGTCTCTCTGGGAGGCAGACTTATAGATGCCAGGCAGACCTGGCATACCAGCTCTGTGGCCTGGAGCAAGTTATTAAACCCCTTGTGGTCTCAGTCTCTTCAACTAAACAATGGGGACATCAATGCTTTCCCCATAAACCTATGATGAAGAACAAACAAGATAATATTTTAAAAATAGCCCCAGGCCTGGCACTTCAAAGATAATCATTCCAGTCTCTTTCCTGTGCCTGCAGTTTCTCCCTTTGTTTAATATACTCTGCTCTCAGCTGCTGAATTCACCTTCCCCAAACTTTAATCTTATCTCTCTCTGGCTTGAAAATTTTAAGATTCCTGTAGCCTGTGGAATAAAGTTTGTACCAGTAGGAAAGAGATACTCACTCTAAGGGATGAGTGAAGAAAGTGTAAGGAAGAACAGCTTGAGAGCACAGAGCAGGGATCCAGGGCATGTAGTCCGTTGGGCATCTGGACTGTTCCTTGAGGAGCTGATCTTGAGCTGAAATATGAAGGATGAATAGGAGTTTACTAGGCATTAGGAGGGATAGAGGGAAGAACATTCCAGATAATTGAAGAGGAGAAGGAGGAGGAAAAAGGGAGAAGGATGGGGAGATGGAGGAAGAGGTGGGAACAGCCAGTATGGGGCTGGAGCGCAGAGAGCAGCAGGGAAGGGTGAAAGGAACCAGGGCCATTCAGGACAGAGCCTGGTAGGCCATGCCGTTGTGCAACAATTTCCATGGTTCCATATATGAAGCAATGGGAGACATGGAAGGTTTTTAAGCTATAACTTGTTTTCACGTCAGTTTCTCTTTATTTTAGGAAGGGCCATCTCTTTATTCTTTATAGTAAACTCCATAGGTGCTCAAGAAATTTGACTAATGAATGAATGCAATTACAGTTGTAGAAATAGAGGAAAAGGATCCTAGTAGTTGAATTTTCTGGTTACTTGGGTGAGAGTGAACTGAGGCTTCACTCTTCTTCACCATCCACAGACTATGGGGACTGCTGCCAAGTTAGAGTTTGAGTTGATTCAGCTCTCCAGGAACATGCAGATGCAACTGACAAACCCGTATTCCCCCAGAGGAAGAAAATTCGCACTACCCAGAGACTGAGACAAAGGGGAATTTAGCTCCCTTGAACTTGAGCCTGGGGACAAGAGAGCTGATGGCAGCTTGGCAGATTCTTGGGTCTCCATGGAAACAGGCAGATTCTGGAAAAGTTTTCTTCTTGAAGGGAAAGGCAATATTGGCTGCTTCCTTTCTTCTGGACACCCTCAGCATGCATGATTCATAAAACATCTGTCTGTAGATTCATTCCAGACAGGGGGCCATTTTGTACCATTTCTGACCCCTACACTCCTGTCTGCTCCTCCTGCAGAGCTCTTAGGCACCCCTGTACCCAGTGCGTCCAGCTGTCCCACACAGTGAGGTTCAGTCACCGGAGACATGAGTCACAGAACCCAGAGTCATGTATCTGGTCCATCCTCGTGTCTCAGGGCCTAGGATGGTATCTTACACAACGTGAAAATTCAACACACATTTTTAGGAAAAAAAAATGTGTGAAGAGTAGAAGGGAATGATAGCCAAGTTCCCAGGTGGTCCTCTTCCTTAGAGTTGAGAAACAAAAATGCATAGCAAACAATTGTCACTTACAACAATCGATAAATCGGTAGCCATCCCAGCTCAACTATGAGATAAATGTAGAGGCTCAAGTTTGCATGCATAATGGTTCAATGTTGTTTTGCAATATTCATTTCATTTACAGTTGTGGGCATAATTGGGCATACATACCAACCATATGTATTGTAAGTCATCTCCACGCCAAAGAGATCCGGGGGCAATTCAATAGCAATTCATAGCATATAATTCCAAGTGATTTTGTAATTATTTGAGAAACATTGAATAGTTGTGGGTTTCTTGTTTTTGGTCATAACTTCATTCATTTAACAAGCATCTGTGGAAGGTTAACCATGGATAGAGCCTCTCTCAGGGCACTGGAAGGTACTCTTTGTGCCCTTCTTGAGGTCCCAGTCTAGTGGGTGAGATAGAAAGAAAACATAATGACAGTATCATATGATGAACTGTCCTTACCAGGGCTATACAACAGAAACACAACATGAGCCACAAAAGTAGTTTAAAATTTCCTAGGAGTCATTTTAAAAACGTAAAATAAACAGGTATAATTCATTTTAACAGTACATTTACTGAGCCCAATATATCCCAAATAGTCTTATTTCAATATATAATCCATATAAAGATATATTCGATATTTTACTATTTTTCATACTACGTCATCAAAATCTGGTCTGCATTGTGACCTTACAGCACATCTCAAGTTGGACTAGCCACATTTCAGGGCCCCCAAGCCACACTTGACAGTGTGGGTCTTTACAGTGGGGCGGAGAGAAACTTCTTTGCTGTTGAACCTGAGGGGTGGGTCAGGAAAGGGGATAATCAACTGTACTATAGGCTAAGGGTGGCGAGTAGTGTCTGGAAGGGCATAGAAGAGGTGTGGGAAGCTGGATCTGCCACCTGGCCCCAAGACACAAGCGTGACAGGTGAGCAGCTGCCCTGGAAATGGTGGGGAGGGCAGGCATGGTGTTTAGAAAGAGGGCTCAGGCAGAAACTCTGGAGCTCTGTGGGCCTGTGGTGCTCAGCTTCTCTCAGGCCAGTGGCTGGGTGTCAGACAGTGGCATGGAATGGGAGTGTGATGATTTTGGTCTCCTCTTCTATCTGAGTGGATCTTGTTCTGAATGAGTGCTGAGCCTGGGATGGATCTAAGCCTTGGGGTATCTTTTCACCTAACAGTCACTATTTTCTGTGGTGGGGAATATCACCCCTGAGGGGCAGGTTTGGAGTGGCCATGTCCTGCTGCCATAACTGAGGGTCATTAATTCTGAATCTAACTCAGGGACAAGATAGGCCCTTTATAGACCCATTTTACAAATGTGGACACTGAGGGCTCTGGGAGATTACAGGCAACTGTCTAAGGTGTAACAGGTGATAATGGTAGAACCAGGATAGAAACTGAGACATGTGTGACTCACTCTGCTTTCTCCACAGCACGCTGCCCCAAACACGAATATCCCTGTACAATACACTCCCCTGGGAATTTGCATGTTCAATTTTATAATCAATCAGAAAGCACTTATTTATACTGACTGATGGGAAAGAAGGCTATGGTAAGTGTGTAGGACATGGCTTCTTCCTCAGTTACTTATGCTCTAGGAAGGACAACACACAAAAGCCTGTGACAGGTGAATAAACTGTGAAATAGAAAAAAAATCAAAATAATTTCAGGAGAAATTTGTGAGACTAGACATGTTCAGTTAGCATTTAAAATCACGAAAGCTTTAACTGTGGATAAAGGAATATTGAGCAGCAACGTGGAAGTGGGTAGGACATATTTTGGGCTGGGGATAGGGTAGCCTTGCCACACTTCCTGAAATCACACTGACAATTTGCCTGAGATTAAAATCTTTTTCTTGTTTCCTACCCTTTTCGGGCTACATAATGGGCCAAGGTGGCAGGTAAGGATGCTGATGTACCTAGGCTTCTAGAAGGCATGTTCTCAGCTACTGCTGCAAAAATCAGGGCATCGATGTGTCCATCAGGAGACACCTGGTACAGTGGGAAAAACAAAGAACCTGGAGACTAAAACCCCCAGGCTTCCATCCCAGCTGAAGGTCTGTGGCCACATTACTTGATGTCTCTGAACTTCACTCTCTTCCAGGGCTGTTTTGAGAATTTAAAAAAGTGAGTAACACATAAAGTGTCTATGAAGATTCTGGACCTGTTTTAATTTGTTTCTCCTTCCCTTGCACCTAATACTCTAACCAACCTTTGGGATCCTCACATAATAGAAGCAAGCAAGTTAATTTGAGCAATTTTGCTATAACCATTCACAAGTAGATCCATATGATACACACTATTTGTTGACCACTCAAAAGTCATTCCTAGCCCCCTTTCTCCCAATAGGCTCTTGCTCTAGAGACTAGAGGACCAAATACTTGCTAGTAGAGGCCATGCAAGACAGTTCTATCCCATTCATGATTGCATGCTGCCATGCATTATTCAGCAGACAGTATATGGCCATCTGACATGTGCCAAACACTGTTCTGGTCACTGGGAGAGACAGAAAGAGTATGTATATATGTTAGATAATGCTTTGCAAAAACAGTAAAACAAAACAAGGAAAGGAATGGAGGAAGGGAGTTGGAATTATGAACAGGGAAGGTCTCACCGCAAAGTTGAAATATGCACAAAGCCTGAAGGAGGTGAGGGAGCCAGTCATATAGTGATAGAGAGGAAAAGCATGCCAAGTGGAGGGAATAGCAGATGCAAGGGGGAGGCCTGGCCTTCTTAAAATAGTGGGAGCCAATATGGCTGAAGTGGAATGGGCAAGGATTGTGTAGTCAAAGAGGGGACCAGAGCAGAAACAAGATAGCCAGATCACATGGGCCTTCCAAGCCCCTCTGAGAAGTTTGGAGTTGACTCTTGAGTGTGTTGGGAAGCTACTGGGGCTTGGAGCAGAGGAGTGCCATTTTTGACTTCTACTTTAATGCACTCACTCTGCTTGCTATATTGAAAAAGGACAGGATGGGTCAAGGGGATGGAGGTGGGTGATAAATTGGAAGGCAATGGGGTGATATGATGGTGACTTGACCAAGGGTGACAGTGGAAGTATGTGGACATCAGCTGGAGGCTTCTGCAGGTTTTGATTTCCTAATAAAAAGAGACAGACCATACTAAATGGATTCTTCTCCCTTTACTCTACTCACATGAATGTGATGACCTGACCTGTAGCATCCATCTTTGGTCCAAAAACATGCTGAGACGTTGACCAGGGGCATTGTTGATGCCCCCAACCAAGAGCAGCGACTGTTCATTTCTAGATTTCTTGTACTGTGAATAAACAAACCTCTGTTGAGTGCATCTTTAGGAACACAGTACCCACAGTGATGCCCTCCTTCTCCTGCACCTCTTCATCAGGAGCCCAGTGACCTGGAAAACCAGGCTCCAAACTGCTTCAAGGAAGCAAAGAGCCCCTGTGTGATTGCAGGAGGAAGAGAGACCTGAAACATATTCTCTCCTAATCCCCCTTCATCTGAGCAAATTTTCAAATGGACAAAGTAATCAATTCAAGTGATAAATATAGCTTATTCAAAGGGCTGAATGAGTGGCTGGAACTATTCCCCAAACTCTGGTTTCCATTGAATAATTGAAATTATGCTAGGGCATGGAAATTTTTCAACAAATAAAATATGTCTGAAAATCTATTAAAGATACGTCTGCAAGAATCATTTGCAAAAGCCCAACTCAGCAATAAAAAATAAATTACATTTCCGTTTTTTCTGCTGTTCCCTTTGGGAAAGAGCGTATTACTACCACTTTGTGGACAAATGGAAACAGTGCATTTTGGAATGAAGGATGTGATAAGTTCTAAACCATGAGGTTTAGTTGTTTAGGTAAAGATTCTACACTGGGAAGTGAAGAAGGAAAATTTCCTTGACTTCCTGTTGCTCAGATAATGTATATGCTGTTTTGTTTCATCCGTGGGGATTTTTGGAATCAGAGTTTTCCATCTGTGACTTTGAGTGATAGACAACTTTACTCAGAGATTTTGGAGCTCATTCAGGTCATTTGGACCAGCCCTGTGGGGATCAAAGTACTCACTAGAATCCCTTATTTCTATTTTCATCTCATCCTGAGCACAGGACTCAGAGGAGAAAGTCCCTTCAAAGGTAGGTTAGAAAGTTGACCAAGAGAATGTAATTTTTGAACTATAAATTGGAAGATCTTCTGAGTAATTTTTTTCTGGTATGATGCAGCTCTGCCAGTTGGCTTCAAAAGCTGGTCGGGGTTGTGTTTCCATCACCTTCCTATACTGTCTCTATTGGTTCAGAGAGCTTGCTGGACACCTCTTTAAATTAAGACCACATAGCTTAAAGCCACAATCCTTTTGCCTGTTCTTTCTCATCTCATTATTTTTTGTTACAGCTCAGGGTGCTGGCCTGGGGTTCGCTAACCCCCTTGGGCAGGGCCGGATCTGTGATTTCCTCTCTCCAGATGGGTGCTGGCACTCAAGGGTTGCACATTTATGCAAGACCGCGGCAGCCATATTTACCTCCAAGCAGACTCATTCCAGAGAAAACTTGGAAGGGGAAAGAGACACAACCTCTCCTCACACAGTCCAGACCTCCTCCTAACTGAGAACTATCAGAGCTATGATTCCATTACTTAAAAGAAGCCATTGCCTCTGGCCCCAAATTAAGGAAAAAAAAATCAACTGCCCACATCAATTAGCTGTGTTAGAGGCAGCTCATGGGCGAGCTGAGGGGATAAGTGGTTGTTGAAACAGAAAGATAGGATAATGCAACATCACACGCTGCTTCCTCCAAGTGCAGAGGGAACTTCAACAATGGTACCAACCTTTGTCCTGTGAGCAAGTCAGGTGTGTTGGAGAAGGGAGGTGCAGAATGGTTCTTCTTTCCTTTCAGGGTGAGAGCAAGTTTACCAGAGCTTAGAAAGAGAGTGTCTTAAAAAAAGTAATTTCTGTCAGACCATCAGACCAAGTACTTTGTGTTTTAACTCACTTAATCCCCAAAACAGCCCAATGAGGAAGCTACTTTTATTATCCTCATTTTACGGACAAGGTAACAGATGCTCAGAGAAGTTAGATAGCTAGCCTGGAGTCATGGGTAGCAAAGGATGTCAAGGCCGTTGCTCTTCACCTCTCCAGACTGCTTGGAGGTGGCCCGATGGGCTTCCGCAGAAGCTCAAGGTGTGTAGAATTGGATTTCTATTTCATGGTGGCCTGACATCTGCTCTCTCGCCCAGGTTTGCACACCTGCCCCCTCGATTTCACTCCCCCTGTCTCTTTCCCAGTTGGCCCTCTGCAAACCATGACTATGAGGGGGTGGCAGTGATTGACCTGAAGGGGGCAGTTGCTTCAGTGGCTTTTGGTCTATCTGTAGCAGGGTGCTGGCTGGTTGCATACAGTGGGGCCTGGCAGCCATGGCCTTGGAAGTCGATTGACCTCACTGGTTTCTCCCACCTCAGAGGCAACCTGAATGTGAGGTGTCTGATAACTCCACTGGGTATTGTTTCATTTCCTGATGTAGCTGGAGAGGATGTCAGTAGAAGCATGAGTCCAAAGTGGTGCAGGAGGAGAGAACCCAATGGGGAGGATAAGGGAGCATCTGCCAATGCCTGCTGCCACGAAATCCAGTTACCCGGGTGGTGGCCTGTTGACTGGCAGGAGAAATGGGCTTGAGATGGTTTCTGGACCCCAGGGAAGCGTTCTGCTCCCCCACCATCCGTGTGCCCCCATTCTTATCTTGATTTCTGAAATTCCATAATTAGGCATTAACTTTAATACTCCTTATCTTAAAAATCAATGGTGCATTAGTTAAAAAGAGAAAAAGGAGAAAAATCTTGTGTTGATAGAAAGATCCAGTTTCTTGAAATCTGTAAGGAATTTGTTTTAATTATACCATACATATAAACATTTCAAAAATACATTTTATTTAGTTTTTATTTTTTTTAAGGATTTTATTTATTTATTTGACAGAGAGAGAGAGAAAGTGTGAGTGAGCACAAGCAGAAGGAGAGGCAGAGGGAGAGGGAGAAGCAGGCTCCCTGCTGAACAAAGAGCTGGATCCCAGGACCCTGAGGTTATGACCCGAGCTGAAGGCAGATGCTTTGACCCACTGAGCCACCCAGGTGTCCCAAAAAACTCCATTTTATTTTGAATTACACATGGAAGTGACTGTGGAATGTCAAGATCTTTTTACTGCCTTTCCAATTTTTAGTACATTAGATCTTAGTTTGAGCCTAGTTAAAATATTAATACTCTTGGGAAACTATAACTTTGTATTCCAGCCTCTGAGGATGGATATTCCATGTGATCTTTTTGGTCAATGAGATGTGAGTGGGAGAGGTGTAGGTCCCTTCTGGGTGGAAATGCTTAAGAACTGGTATGTTCTAATTCTAATTAATGATGCTGCATGTCGTATATTTGAAAGTTGCTGAGAAAATAAGTCTGAGAAATTCTCACCATAAGAAAAAAACAATGTGTTACTATGCATGGTGATGGATGTTAACTAGACTTACTGTGGTGATCATTTCACAATGTGTACAAGTATCGAAGACAAGTATGGTGTACACCTGAAACCAATATAAAGTTATATGTCAATTAAATCTCAATTTAAAAAAAGAAAAAAGAAAAATAATCCTTGTACTCCAAACAAACAAGTAAAAAATACCAGAAAATTAAAAAAGAAAGGAAGAAAGAACTGGTGTGGCTTTCCATGTTCTCTCTTCCTCGTGGTGAACATACAAATTGGGGTGATCATGCAAGCTGGGGTGATGGGTGTTATAAAACCGAAGACAGCGACTAGAAGGTGCCAGAACTTGCATATACTGTGAAATAAAATATTGTGTTTTGAGCTTTTAAGATTTTGGGCTTGTTAGTTACTGTAGTGTCATCTAGCATAACCTAACTGACAGAGAAAGAAACAGGCCATAAAATTTGGTCAATGTTAGAAATTGTAGTCTAGAGAGAAATATCACTTTACTGACAGAGGAAGAGAAAAAAAAGCACTGATATTCCAAATTCCTAGATGAACAATTTTGAGTTTTCTTTTTATGCTCCCTGCCAGGCTTGAGGGAGTTCGTGAAGTGTTAAAAAGCAGAGAGCAGGGATCTCAAAGAGATGAAGAATTAGTCTGTATTCACAGATCAAACTGCCAACCTCTGGCTGACGGAGAGCTGGTTGGATTTGCAAACTTAGTTTTCTAAGGAAATACCTCTTGCGGTATCATCTGAAGTCTTCTCCCAGTTTACTTGTTTCAACTCTGATGGGCTGCATGCAAGAAAAAGCATTGGAATTGTCTTTCAACTAAATAACTTGGGATCTTTTGAACCCTTGTTATGTTTGGGCTGATGGGTTTTGGCCATGTTCTCAAAAAAAGCTATCCCTGCTGCTTTTGCCTCAGATTGATTTCCTGGAATGGTCTTCTGAGCTCACCCTTTGCTATCTGGCTTTCTTTTCTTCTTCCAGAGGAGAATCTATTACAAGCAAAACATGAATCCCCAAATCTGAAATTTAGGACCACACTTCATGGAGATCGAGCCTGCATTGTTCTTCTCAACACCAGCCAAGGTATCCTAGGCTATCCTGGGGGATAACCACCCTTTCTGTCACAGAGCCTAAGGCACGGCTATCCTTTTACTTTTTCACATCTGAGAATCAACAGAAAGTTCAGATCATTTGTTAACTTAGTAAATGTTGACAGTTCTCACACCTATGTGAAAGCAGTGTTAGGTACTTTGGGGATAAAAAGATGAGTAAAAACTCTGCTTTCTGAATATTCACTACTAGTTGTCAGCTCATATACTGCAATAATGGAGAGCAAAACATGGTGTGTTAAAAGAGGTTCTGAGCACCCTCTTTTCCTGAATTATGAGTAGGTGACTTGGGTAGATAGATTAATTTAATTCTCAATATAACTTGAATAAATTAGAGAATACCTCGAGGCTCAGTTTGGGTAGGGTGTTATGTTCGAAGGAGCAATATGGTAGCCAAAGGGTTATAGCAAATATTTTGGTTCTTTACTCAATTTCTTATTGAAATGGAAAAGAAGCTAGTGTGTTCTTAATACCTGGCCACCCTCTTTAAAATATTTTTTCTACCCTTGCTCCTCCTTTTAATATCCTTTGTCCCCTGAAAGTCTTTCTCTTCTACTCTCATTTCCCTGTCCCTAAAAACCATTGCCTGACAGTTGTAAACACAACTGTTCTCTCCATTTTCCCTTTTGCCCTTTCCAGAATCTCTACACTGTAGGAGCTGATCTGGCTTGCAAGAATTCTCCCTCCTTAAATGCCAGAGTGAGTAGTCACACACCCATTTTTGTCCCTGTTCCACAATAATACTTTTGTCTCTGTTTAAGTATCGGGAATATTTACATTAAATATGTTTCCTAACCATTGAACATTTCCACAACATTTCTTCATTGCTGTTTTGGGACCGAGCATGGTATAAGGTAAAGTATCGTGGTCTGGGAGGTCAGGAACTCTCCCCCCACTGGATTCATCACTTTGGAAAAGTCACTGAACACCAGGTTCATTTGGTTGCTTCACTATAAGCTACAAGGAGTTAGATCAGTTGGGTCTCTGAGGCCTCTCATGCTACACTCAGTGGAATCCCAAGTGATTGCCTGGGGGGGCAGGCACAGAGTGGAGGAGAGCTCTGGCACCACCTATATTGTCAGAATGAGACAGCATGGCTAGGGAAAGCTCTCCCTTTTCATATGCTTTCAGTGCAAGCACACAATGTGTGGCCCTATAACGAATCAGGAAACATGTCGAGGATGGTTCATCAGTCTATAACAAAGATAAAAATATTTTAACAGTTTAAAAAGAAGGTTCATTCATTCTACACTCCTTGATTGTCATAGTTCTTTTAAAAAAATCTTCCTTCTTTTCTTTTCCTTTTGTTAATCTGTAGGGCAGCCACACAATCTGGGATTCCTGATATGGGTGTGGTTTTACCGTGGCCTGTCACCACAAGATGGACGGCGTGAGCTATTTCTGCAAGCACATGCAATGCTCGTGTGTCATGAGGGTACTGCCCCATGTTAACTTTCCTGCCTCAGTGTTACCATGAGCTTTGTATTTGGCAATGGCTATATTGAGATATAATTCACATCCTGTACAACTCATCCATCTAGGGTGTGTAATTCAATGGTTTTTTAGTATATTCGCAGAGTTGCACAACCATCACCACAGTCCATCTTAGAACATTTTCATCACCCCAAAGAGGAATCCTGTACCTGTACCTGTCACTCTCCATCCCCCACTTCCCCAGCCTCTGGAAACCACTAGTTTACTGTCTCTGTGGATTTGCCTCTTTTGTGCTTTTCACATATATGGAGTCATATAATCTGCGATCCTTTGTGACTGGCTTCTTTTACTTAAGCTCAGTGTTTTCAATGTTCATTCATGTTGTAGCAGACATCAGTACTTCATCCCTTTGATGACCAAATCATATTCCACATTTTGGGTACTCATTCAACTGTTGATGGACCATCGCTTCGTTTTTCCCCTTTATTTTCTCAAACGTACTCTCCTAATTTTGCTAAGATATGTCATGATTCCAAATGTCACTGGAGAGGAAGCACACAGCTGTTTCCTTTACCAGAATCTATTTATATGCACGTTGGACAGACACCTCCAAACTGTGGATCCCTACATAGAAGCTGGTTGACCATTTGTTAAGAACATGAGACTCCTGAGTCAGACTGCCTGTTTTGAATTTTGGTTTTTACCACTTATTCTCAAGTAGCACTTAGCTTCACCTTTTTACGCCTTAGTATCCTCATTTTCAAAATGGGTTTTATACCAGCACCTTCCTATGGCAGAGACTGCCCATCAGCCCTTAGTTACTGTTCTCACTTCCAAAGTGATAAAGCTCCATTCTTTGGAGAGACATGGCTCCCTGGGATGGAGGTTGTACTTCCTAGATCCTCTAATTGTTAGGTATGACTTTGTCTCTACCTCTGGCCAATGGTATGCAAGCAAAAGCATCATTTAGCAGCTTGTAAGAGCGTTCTTTTAAAGACATCTGGCACATGCCCTTTTCCCCTTTTGATTTGGTCTCTTCCTCTATCCTGCACCCTGGAAGCTGATGCTGTAATCCTGGACCATAAGATCAAAGCCAAAACTACAAGATGGAATTTGGTTCCTGAAATGGGAGGCTGCAAGTAATAGACCCTAAGCATGTGGCATAGGAAGGTGTCAGGTAGTGGGTGAGAATACACCTATTGCAGGCTAACAAACTGGTGAGCTTTGCTATGTGGTGATAAAACATTTACTAAAAACTCCTCTCTGAGTTGACTGGGAGGCAGAGCAGGGGCAGACTGAGTCCAAGGTATTAGGGAACTGCTGGGAAGATTTTACAGTATGGGGTGTGCTGGCTCTTTCTTGACACTCTTGCCCTAAGAGTGTCTGGCTTGGGTTAACAGCCTGTAGGCGTTGGTTTTGGCAAAGTCTGGCTTTGCTAAAATAGGATTCTACCTGCATCCTGCGATCTAAGTCAACTGAGACTGCAGTAATATTGGGGACCTGGCAGGGCTGATAATACCAAGGACATTTATCTTGCAGACTGAAGAGGTTAGTAGAGACTCTGAAACAGTAGCTTTACCAGGATACAGCTTATGGCTGCAAGTCTTTCTCAACATCTTCTGTTAAGAGTTCTCTGCATCACCATAAGCAATGTAATATAATAATAGCGACAAAGATCAGATAGGGTGTTACCTTTGCTCTAAAGCCTACTGATCTCCATGACTTCAAGGCAGCCACTGTGAGGATGAATGCAAGGGTATGCAGCACCGAAGCCAGGAATAACAGACTAGAGCAGTGGTTGGCAAACTGCAATCTGTCAGGCAAATCTGACCTGCCGTTGGTACCCTGTCCCCCCCACCGCCGTAAAGCAGGTGAGAAAAAATGTGGACATTTGTTTTCTTTCTTATCATGTAATTACCTACATGATACTCTTGATTTTTGCCTTTGGGCCCACTAAATCCAAAATATTTATTATTTAGCCTTCTGACAGGACAAGTGTGCCAATGTGTAGACTTAAGTCTTAGGCATAAAGATTAGGTCAAGATAAGATCTTGCACACAGAGTGACTGACTGCAGGAAAATAAATAGACAAGAAGCTTAGCAGATTTTTGAGGGAATTTTATTGTTGTAACTATTATCTTCACCTGCAAACGTCTGTAATTGTTCAACTGCTGAAACAATACTGCTGATCCCAAACCTGCCCCAGCAGGAAGTCATGCTCTCCAAAACCCATATGCTCTCCAAGGATAGCACATGAAGTACCAGATGGGCCACCAACCAACTCACCCTGAGGCCTGAGAAGGCGCCATGGCAATTCTTGCCCTGTGGGATTTAACAAAACTACAATAAGCCAGTGATTGCCATGTATCACTGTAGTCACCCTTTTCCTGACAGGTGTTTTATTTGCCACTATGAAGTCTTAGTCCATCATCCCATATTGTGTGTGTGTGTGTGTGTGTGTGTGTGTGTGTGGTGAGTGTGTTCTTTAGTTGGTAGGTTGCTGGGCAATGAGAAGCCATGTGTGTTCCTGAGGTGACGTGGTGTGAGTGGAAGGTGGTCTCTAATCTAGTCCCAGGTGACATGATTGTAAAACCATATTCTCATTTAGGCATTTCAAACATTTACACATCATTTGCATTTTTTTTGAAGAGGGTGGTAGAGAGCAGAGGGAGAAGGAGAGAGAGAGAATCTTAAGCAGGCTCCATGCCCAGTGTGGAGCCCAACATGGGGCTCCATCTCACAACCCTGAGACCATGACCTGAGCCAAAATCAACAGACGCTTAACTGACTGAGCCACCCAGTGCCCCTACATCATTTGGATTTTATACAAAATACTTGTATAATATTCTGTCTTAAAAATAAAAGTAGTAAAATAAAAAGAAAAATTCTGGCGCACATATTCAGCTGTGGATAATATTTGTGAGCTCTCTTCAAACTTTGGGAACAATGGGAGTCACAGCTTTACCATTTCAACACAGATACCTCAGGGCTTCCATTCCAATTCATAATCACTCTTGAGAAAGGAGTGCCGTTGTACTTTTGTGCTTCTAACATCTTCAATTTTTTTTTCATTTTGCTAAACCAGTTTCTTAAGATAGGACTCTAAGTTTCTTTTTCTTTTAAGAGACAAGTAGTTCTCGTTAATTAATTATACAATCATTATAGCTACATTTTTAGTAAGTCTAGAAATTAGCTCAATAATATCATCCTAATGCTACCAACTTAACCCAACTCTCAACATGGCCCTTCCTCCATTCTAGTCCTTTCTGGTATGTATTATAAATGGTTACAATCATAATGTACATAAATTTTATGTCTTGTGTTTCCACTCAATACCACGTAAAGGAATATCTCTGTGTTTTTACATAGTCTTTTAAAATAAGCTTTTTAATGGCTGCTTCATGTTCTGTGTAATAGTGATTTCTGTTTTAGTCATCTATTGCTGTGCAACCAAACCACTCAGAACTTAGTGACCTAAAACAGCAACAGCCACTCTGTTATCTCTCGTGTGTCCTGGGCTTGGGAAAGCTTGTCTTGGTGGTCTGAGTTCAAGCAGTTGCCATCCCATGGTGGCTGGATGTGGGAGAGAGTGGCTGGGGCATTTGGGGGCTGGCTGGGCTTCCATCTCTCTTTATGTAGTCTCAGAGCATCTCAGTGTGGAGCCCTGACTCATGCTACTTTGGGCTTTCCTCACAATATGGCAACCTCAGGATGCTAGGACTTCTTATATGGTGGCTCAGGGCTCTAGCAGGAATGTTCTAACCAGCCAGGCAGAAGCTGCATTGTCTTCTATGACCTTCACATAGTGCCCCTCCAGCTACACTAGTCAGTAATCAAGGTTGGCCTAGGCTCAAGGGGAAGAAATATGTCTTGCTGGCTGGGTGATGAAAGAGTCTGCAGAGATGTCTTAAAATTCAATTTCACAACCCGTTTGGTTATTCTTTTATCACTGGACATTTGTTTACTTCTGTTCTTTTTTTTTTTTTTGCTGTCAAGATAATATTGTGATAAACATCTTCATGTGTATAGCTTTTCCCATATTTTATATGGAAGTAGGATTATCATTTCCAACAATATAATCTTTCATATGGTGCCTGAACTACATTGCCAAGGAACTTTCCAAAAGGATAGTATAGATTTAAAATGCTATATGCAATGTAGGTGACGATATTTTTGATTTGTCATTATTAGCAATATAAAATACCATTAGACTTTTATTTTGTTCACTTAATATGTAAGATGGGTTTTGTTTGTTTAATTTGCATTATTTTTATAACTGGCAAAGTCCTCTTTCCTGTTTGTGAATTTTATTATCTCATTGTCTTTCTAGTTCATGTATTGGGTCTGAATGTGTTTATTGCAAGTTGCTTGAAATTTTACATGCTAAAAATGTCAGTCACTTCTATGTCATATTTGCCAGCTTAGTCTTTTTCTTTTGGTTAATAACTTTCCTTGGAGGTTAGGTGTTTTTAACTTTTTCCTACAAATGTATTCCTTGTTCTCTCTGATGTCTTTTATCACACTTGTACTTAGAAAGTCGTCCCTCCTCCAGACTTTCCAGAAGTAAAAAATTATCAGTGATATGAGTATCTATAATGATGTTTTCATGGTTACAGTTTTACATTTAACTTCTTTTTTTTAAAAGATTTTATTTATTTATTTGAGAGAGAGAGAATGAGAGATAGTATGAGAGGGAAGAGGGTCAGAGGGAGAAGCAGACTCCCTGCTGAGCAGGGAGCCCGATGCGGGACTCGATCCTGGGACTCCAGGATCATGACCTGAGCCGAAGGCAGTCGCTTAACCAACTGAGGCACCCAGGCGCCCTACATTTAACTTCTTATTCATTTTAAGTTTATTTATTATGTTACTTGGGTCTAAAGTAATTCTTCCTCTGATGCTAATCAGCAAAACCAATGCTATGGGATATTTCCATCTTTGCCTCCATTGGTTTATGATATCTTTTTACTACATATAAAATTCTTACTTATAATATGGTCTAATTCTGGACTGTTTATTCCATTGAATTTAAATAGCCTCATTTGTTGTTTCCCTTTGTTATGCTTATCTGTTCTCTGTCTTAGATGAACTCCATAATTAATATGCACTAAGTCCAAAGAAAAACTTTTTTTGAGAATATGATTGAGATTGCATTAAAGCCTGAAATTCATCTTGAAATATTTGATGTTTTTGCAATATTTAGTTTGCAAATACAGGTGCACGGTATAGCTCTTCATTTATTGAAACTTTCAAAAAATATCCCTTAATTTATTGTAGCTGTTTGTCTACATTCTTGATTTAAAAACCAGGATTTCTTTTTTCCTTAAGGGCCACTTCAGATATTGGATTGGTCTCATGGACAAAAGTCTTTTGATTGATGGTTAAGCAGTCAGGTGTCTCCTGAGTAGTCCCTTTAGCTCCTTCTAATTTTTTTGGGGGGGGATTTTATGTAAAACATCTATAATTTTTGACTTAAAAAAATTTTTTTTTTTTAAAAACCTTAACCTAACGTTAAGCCAAACAGTAGTCAGGGGTTGCTAGGACGAGGGAAGGCAGGTTCACAGATTTCAGTCCTAAGAAGAGGAGAGGAAGTAGAGCTGGTAGAAGTGAAGGTAACTGTGAGAGTGTACAAGATGTCTTCACAGGGCTCAAGGCACAAGCACCATCCATGTCTCTGTTAGGGGCAGACATGGCACGTCACAGAAGGTGGCTCTGACAGATATGCTCTATCTGGAAATTCTGCAAGCTTGGAAGCCTGGGCCCATTCTCAGTGTCCAGCTAATCAAGGAGAAGGCATTGACACCCTCTTTGTGGGCAGAGGATGCCGCAGGCTGCCCCCAAGACAGGGTGTCCCGTTCTTCAGGAAGGGCCACCAGATAGGGGCACACTTGGGCACTCTCCTGTATAAACACCACCTCAGGTTCATTTTAAACATCCCAGTTTCCAAAATGCAAACACACATGGTCACGCCTCTCCTCCAGCAGGATGACCTCTGGGTGTAGTCATTTGAATTGACAATCAGTTCCAGTAAGTGCTGAGGGCTAGAGCGCCTCATCCAGGAAGAGAGGGGTGGGGGAAGGAGGGAGGGAGGAGGGACCCAAGTAGGAGGAGGGGGAGGCCATCTGGAAAAAGGAAGTTGCATACCAACTGTCAAAGGTCTGGCTGGGGGAGGGGTCATCTTTAATATGCACTAAGGAGACGGGTTTCGTGTGCCACGTCACTGCCAAAGTCACCTCTGCTGAGTGTCAGGCTGAAGCCCACGTCCCAGATGAAGGCAAGTTGGAGCTCCCTCTTATCTCAGGCAAAACCTTGCATTTAATAGTTAGGGAGCACATACATCACGCACCATTAAAGCTGCCAGTTTCCATCTCTTTCACACCATTAGTAGAATATCTATATCATTAAAGGAAGTGAGTTACAATATAAAAATATGGTAATTCAGACTGTCAGGTCACAATTGACAGCACATTTGGGGGGCTGTTTCCTGATCTGTCTCCAGAGACCCTATATTTAGTGAAAAGACATTTCCCAGAAAAGTTTTCATAAATATTCTCTATGGGAAAAATGTATATTTATCACTTCACATAAAAAGAAACCTAAAGTAAATGTTTTAGAAGCTGGCTTCTCAGAAAGTGAGTGGCTATTTTTAATCTGTAGCTAGAAGAATTTTTCTTACCAACTTTTTAAGAGTCAGGGAATGCTCTGGGTTACCTGCAATGTTAATAGCAACATTTCCACATTTTTTCCCTCTTCTTTGTCTTCCCTACAGCCATGCTTCATGCCCTATGGTTTGATTCTGGTGTTGGGAAGTATATTTATGTTTTTTCATTTTCTGGAGTTTATGATGCTCTGATGTCTTGGAGACTAGCTGACAGGGGAGACACTGTCCCTCCCAGGGTAAGCCAATTCCTAGAGATAACTATGACTCCTCTGTACCTTCCACATGCAAACCAAAAACCAACTGATCCAAAGCCCATCTCCACCACCCACCTCCTTTTTTGGGCTCTCACACTCTGGGCCACTATTCCCTGCCACTGTAATCACCACAGGGCCAGGTACCAGATAGCTAGGGACAGTCCTTATGCCTTGAAGCCTACTTTAAGTATTCCAACTAGCCAATCCTAAATGTGCAAGGCCTGCTAACCCTGCCTCACCCATTTCTTCTAGCCAAAACCACGAGAAAAGTTCTCATCCATGATTTCTCCTCGCTTTCTCTGCCTCCGGACTAACGCCACTCCTTTCACCTAAGGCTCTGACGGTGTGCTGTGCCCCTTCCTCCTGGACACTGTGAGTAACTGACTATCTCTTCAATGGCAGTCCTTTCCTGATTTGTTGGCTTCACCAGAATGCAATAATAATAAACTCTACATTTTAAAGCAGAGGTGTAGAAATGCTCACAAATCTCCTCTCCAGTGGTTCAGAGGAGTAGATTATCCCTCAGACTGCATGTAAATAATCTTGCTGGCCACTCACTGCTTTATTGTAATAGGTCTCAGTTAAAATGAGACTTTATTCCACTTCAACGGGTCATCCTCCATACTGTCGGAGGGAAACCATATTGATGAAAATCATTGGAATCCAGCAGCCATGGGAGAGAAGTATAAGGAAAATGAAATTGGAAAGCCCTAAGTTAGTCAGGGCAGGGTGAGCCTAGGGTCGGAAGTTTACTGAGGAAAGAGACTCTAAAAAAGGAGGCAGAAAAATCAGATTGGGGAAACAGGAGAAACATTCATTTCAGGAAGAGTAAAATGGAAAGATATAATTCAGTGGATATCTTCTTAGGCACAGCACTGGGTTCTGAGGGATGCCTTGCTAAATGAGCTGGGCAGCATGCTGGTCTTCAGAGACATAGAGACGAAGGATGCTGAAGTACCCGTGTGGGAGGACTTCACAGTCTCTTATGGTGAGTAGACATGGAAAATGGGCAACAGCTACTTAGTGTGAGTGTCCCAGTGGGATAAGTGTAGGGGCCAAGGCAGCACAAAGGAGGGAGGTAAGAGAAGTCATCCAGTAGGACCAGGAGGCATTTGCCCTGAGCTGAGGAAGTGGGGGAGGGGAGGTGTTTTGAAGAAGGTTCCAAGCACAGCAGACAGATTTTGCAAAGGCCAAAAGAGAAAGTCAGGCAGGGAAGGGTTTACAACAGACAATTATAGGAACAGGTTTTTATTTAAAAAAATTGTTAATTGTGGAACAAATCACATAATATAAATTTATCATCTAAGTATACAGTTCAGTAATGTTAAGTATATACACATTGTTGTGCAATAGATCTCTGTAACTCTGACATCTTGCAAACTGAAACTCTATACCCATTGGACAACAACTTCCCTTTTCCCCTTCCCCCCAGCTCCCAGTAATTGCCATTCTACTTTCTGTTTCTCCAAAGTTGGCTACTTTAGATACCGCTTGTAAGTGGAATCATACATTTGTCTTTTTGTGACTGGCTTATTTCACTGAGCATAATGTCTTCAAAGTTCATCCATCTTGTAGCTTGTGATGGGATCTCCTCTTTTAACGTGGAATAATCTTCCATTGTATGTATATAGGACATTTTCTTTATCCGTTCATCCATTGATGGACGTTTGGATTGCTTCCACCTCTTGGTTATTGTGAAAAATGCTGCAATGAACATGGGCGTGTAGATATCTCTGAGATCCTGCCTTCAATTCTTTCAGATAAATACCCAGAAGTGGGATTGCTGGGTTATATGGCAGGTTTTTATTTTTAACGATCATTCTAGTGACTACATGTAATATTAATTGGATGGGGCAAATACTGGAGTCAGGGAGACCTACTGAGTAGTCTAGACAAGATATAACAGTTGCTGAGAGTAAGGTAGCAGAAGTAGAAAGAGAGGTGTAGATGAGTTCCAGGTAGAAAGATGATCACCGTGTTGACAGATTGAATGGGAAGCACGAGGAGGCGTGAACGGTGAGGCTCAGGTTTCTGGGCTGAGTACCTGGCTGGATCATGGAGCCTATTGTTGTAGTAGAAGCATAGGAAGAAGAGGGGGAGTGGATCCTAACTGTTTTGGAATGGTGCTTTAACAGCAGTGGGGGCAGATGGCAATGGAGAGGTCCTGTCCTGCAAGAGAGCTGGCCCTGGGCAGGAGAAGGAAGAGTGGAGAGAAGGGCAGAGACCAGAGGAAGCAGCCACCAGAGAATCTATTACAGTGCCCAGGGACTGGTTGATCCTGGGGGACTTACAGAAGGGAGGCCTCGCAGAATTTTGATGAGATTTTGATCAGATGGATGGTGGTATGAGACCAGGTTGCTTGGAATTTTATTTTATGTTATTATTTTATTATCATGTGAAAAAATTTTATTTATTTATTTGAGAAAGAGAGAGAGAGAAAATGAGCAGAGGGGAGAGGCAGAGGGAGAGGGAGAAGCAGACTCCCAGCTGAGCAGGGAGCCCGATGTGGGGCTCTATCCCAGGACCCAGAGATCATGACCTGAGCAGATGCTTAACTGACTGAGCCACCCAGGTGCCCCTGGAATTTTAATAAATATTTTGCCTGGTTATAGATAATTTGATTTTGACATATTTGTGGAACATGTATAGATAGCTAGCTGGGAATACTGGAATACTAATTTAGTACTTTTTAGTTAAAGCTTAGAGCAGAGTCAGGCTAAAGACAGGGATTTAGAAGTCAGTTGTCAACATGTAGGTGAGAAATGTGGTTACGGGTAAGTGACACTTAACCAAGGAAAGCAGAATGGACAGCTAAGGAAAGTGTGGAACATCAGTGTTCTGGGACTAGTAGAGGAAAACTAGCCAGGAAGGAGAGTGGGAAGGGTTAGGAATGGAAGAAAGGAGAGAGTAGTGTTGGAGACACTAGGGAGAATGAGAGAAAAAGGGCAGAGGAGATTTTTGGGTAGGTGGCCAAATCTGGACTAAGGGCAAGTGAGCAGAGCTGATGTGAAAGGGCAGTGTTATCCAATCCCTCCTTTGAGCTGCCCAGTGAACCTTGTAAATACAAAGACTTTCCCACGTTGATGGTGACATGTTTCTTTACTCTATATAGACTAGTTGTTCTCAAGGGGGTGGGTACTCTGGCTACATTTTTTGTTGTCACAACTGGGACAAGGATGCTTTTGGCCATCTAGTGGTTAAGAAAGAAGCTAGGAATGCTGCTGGACATCCTACAATGCACAGGACACACTCCTCCCACCCCAGCAAAGAATGATCCAGGCCAAAAAACCAACTGAGAGCCCAAGAAACCCTGGTATAGACTTCGTGTGTTGGATATATTCATTCCATGCATCTTTTTAAAGCTTCAGGCATGGTGTTTACAGTGAGGACAGTCTGCGACCACGTGGCATTCCAGCTCCTCCTAGTTTGTGGCTCAATAGTGGGGCCCCCTTGAATGATTTGACAGATTCCAGAGAACCAGTCCACCCTTTCAACCAACCCAAGCTGTACATTAGCATGGGAATTTTAGAAAGGGGAAATATATTGAAAGAATTAAACATCTGAACTCAGCAAGATCACTCTTTCCTTGCAACTCCTCCCAGCTGCTGCCGCAAGTCCACTGCATTTCAAGTCTAGGAGAAAAATGGGTCTTCTCCTAGTTGTACTCTTTGAAGCTTTGGCCCTGCTGGTCCTCCCAGGAACGTCCGCTACAGAGCCCCTGAATTCTTTTTAGCTTAGGTTAGCACACTGGGGCTTTTCTTAATTGAGAGCACTCGCGAATAACTCAATTTCCTAAAAATCAAACAGCATTAACTTCTGCTCCTAAGCAATCAAGCTTCCTGATCATTCAGCTGCTTCCTGTGGGTCCTCATTTCCACTATCAGTGGGGTGGAGCCGGAGTGGGAGCATGGCCGCTGTGTGCTCATACCAACTCGTGCCTGCACGCTCTTCTCATTGTCTCCTCCCAACTGTCAGAACTCACGGTTGGAGGTTCTGAATTAGAACCTGCTCGGGCATCCATCAGCTGGGTAACCAATATGGGCAAGGGACTTAATATCTCTTACATGAAAGGAGAAGAATAGTACCTCCCTCAGAAGGTTGCTTGGAGGATGAAACTGGTAAACACATGGGAAGTGCTCAGAGCAGTGCCTGGCATGGGGCAAACTCTCAAAATAACGTGAACAATATTAGTTATTTGCTATTGTATTGGTTTCTCAGGCTGCTTTAACAAAGTACCACAGACCGAATGGCTTCAAACAACAGAAAAGCACTTTCTCACTGTTCTAGAAGCTAGAAGTCCAACATCCAAGTGTTGGCAGAGTCATGCTCCTTCTGGAGATGCTGAGGAAGAATCCTTCCTCATCTTTTGCTGGCTTCTTGTGGTTGTCGGCAGTCTTTGGTGGTTCCTTGGCCTGTAGCTGCATCTCTCCAATTTTTGCCTCCACATTCACATGGCCTTTTTACCTACGTTCGCCTGCGTGTCTACAAATATCCCTCTCCTTACAAAGACACCAGTCATGGATTTGGGGCCCACCCCTGCCCCATCAGTATAACCTCATCTTAACTAATTACAACTGCAAAGACCCTATTTCCAAGTCAGGTGACATTCTAAGGTTTTGATGGACATGAAGTTTTGGGGAACACTACTCAATCTACTATGGTACCATTAAGGTTAATGGACAAATTCATACTGGTTTAGTGGGTGCTTCTCTAGGTGAGGAAAATCTTATCAGTATGTTTAATTTTTCCAGACACATTTTAAAAGCTGGTCCTTTAAAACATTCTGCATGTTATAGCCTGAACAGCATCCTATAGAGACAATTTATAAAAAAATCAAAAATAGCATTTGACTCAGACTTCCTTTGGCGTGAGAGCTGATGGAGAGATTTGGGGTGGGAGGAGGGGGTTGAATTCGATTCAGCCTACCACCTGTCCATAGACAAGGGGACAGACATCCATGAAACCAACTGAGGCAGCATCGTCTGTAATGCAGAGTCACTTTTCTGGTTTATACCAAGCAGAATTAGATTTGTGTGTTCTGAATATCGAGTGACACAGTGTCCCAGGGCAACATTGAAAGACACGTGGTAAGAGAGTGCTGCCAGTCAGTACACTATTTATGAGCAGAAAATTCATGCGTATATAACTTTAGGTGAGTGTCCTTTCCCCTGGTTTCCCATGAGGGAGACTACCTGGTGCACAGCACTTACCTGTGTGTTCCCCATTGTATGCTGCTTCAAGTCTGTAACAGGTCCAAGTCTAAGGTATGTGCCACTTCCTGCACATTCTTGTTGTGAGTGAAAACCAGGTGATGCTCACCAGGTCAGTGTCTGAATGCAGTCAGATGCATAAAATACCCGTGAACCTCTCATGGAAACTACCCGAGAAGATTCAACTTCTTTCTATTCATTGCTAACTGCCCTTGTGTGTATGTCTTCTCCAGTGGTGGTTCTCAAAACTTGGCGTCTATACAAATCACCCAGAGATCTTCTTAAAATGCAGATTTAGATTCAATATATCCCAGATGGGCCCAAGGTTCTGCATTTCTAACAAGCTCCCAGGTGATGCTGATGTTGCTGGTCCCTGGAAAACTTTAGCCTGGAGGGCTCTGTGTGAAATACCTCCCCTAAATCCTTTCCAACAGGTGGTACTTGTATACCAGAAAGGTACTTGTGGGATAAAGCTTATGGATTCTGAGAATGAGAAATATACCCGCTGTCCAAGGGATGCATCTGAGTATAGAGGAAAGAATGCCAGACTGGCAACTGGGAAATAGGTATTGGCATTTCAGTCCTGGCCTTGCTACTGAGTAGCTGTATGATCTTGGATATATCCTCTAACCTCTCAATGCCTCAATTTCTTTACCTGTACAGTAGGAGTGATATTGCTCCCTTTACCTATCGGAGTTTGCAAGAATGAACTGAAGCGATGTATCTTTAAAAACTCAGTGAAAAGTGCAAAGCATTATTTTTTTAAAAGATTTTATTTATTTATTTGAATGAGAGAGAGAGGAGGAGAGGAAGAAGGACAAGCAGACTCCACACTGAGTGAGGAGCTCATATGGGGCTCAATCTCATGACCCTGGGATCAGAACCTCAGCCAAAATCAAGAGTTGGGCACTTAACCAACTGAGCCACCCAGGTACCCCTGAAAAGTGTAAAGTGGTAAATTGGTTTCTCCCTCCATGTTCTCTAGAGAATGAAAGACTGGTTGTTGGTCCAAACAGGAGAGCTCTGTGTTGTAGGGGGTTCCATTTGTGGTATCTGTGTGTGCTTCTTTGAGAGGTACCCTAGGACCCTGAAGGGTGCTTAAAAACATGTTCAAACCTAAAGCTTTTATTACTAACTTCCAGTAACTCAATATATTTAACATTTACTGTTAGCTCTTTGTGCATGACAGGTGTGGTCCTTGGACTATGGATGTATCAAGATAAATAAGGCAGGGCTCTGGACCTGGAGGAGTTTAATTCCACTATTAGGGACAGATCATGGACCTAGAGAGCCCAATACAAAGTAGAGGGTGGGTCACGTGTAATGGGAGTGGGGGTTTTCAATAAATTACCACGCTGGTCTACTTTTCCACTTCCCAAACCACTACCTCATAGGATTCCCACCCTCTGTTTCAAGGGAGCTAACATGTATCCTGGGTAATGAGGATAGTGTTGAATAGTGGTTGAAACCAGGGATCTGGAGCCAGACTGCTGGGTTTGACATTCAGCTCTGTATGACTTTAAGCAGCTTATTTAATCTCTTTGTGCCACAGAGAGGTTTACACTGGAGATGCTGTAATAGTATCTGCCATAGAATGTTGTTGTAAAGGATAAGTAAGTATAAATGATATATAGACATGTATACACACACATGTGTGTGTATACATGTATTTCCACAGTAAGCTCTATGGGTTAGCTACTATCCTACTGCTGAATGAAAGGGGAGTCCACAGAAGGCGGTAGCGGCAGGGTTCAGCCAGTGTGGGGCCCACACGGCTGTGCTTCTACCCCCTCTGGTGGGGAATCCGTAGGCAGGGTAAGGCAGCTGAGGGTGGAGGGCCCTGCCCCAGCGCCCACAGATGGACAGTAATGGGGCTTCCTGCTTGGATAATGTGGAGCCTTGAATGGCAGTTAGTTACCCCCCAGGGGTGGCTTGGCTTTCACTCTGGGTTTGCTCCCCTGCCACTCCCTGGAGCCAGCCACACAGGTCACGGCTCCTGAGCAGCTCCTCCTTTCACCCTGGCCCCCCAGGTCATAATAGCTTGCCTCTGGGACAGGTTTCTTTCAAGGTCACACCTCATTCCACTCCCTCCTGTTGCTCTTCTCCTGGTCTCCCTGAGGGCAGAATGGGGTAGGATGGTGGGGTCTCCTCCCTTCTCCATTCTCCTGTGCAAATCCATTGTTGTGTATACGGCACGTCCCCTGCTTGTCTCAGGTCTTCTGTTGTTCTAGCAGTAAAATATGTTAAGTATTCATTCCCTCTACAGGAGAACTCTGAGTCTCCAGGCAACATGGGCCCAATGCATAGACGTAGGAAAAAGAAAAACAAAGTCCTATCCAGTTTATGAAGCCTCTACAGAGACTGCAGGAAAGGTGTGAACACAGGAAAAGGAGAGCAGAGGAGGGTGCCAGCAAGCAACCAGCACGCATCTGTTTGATGTCATTGCCATACAAGACACCATAGGGACATGCAGGGCGGGTTAAGTCTGCAAAGCCCAGGTGGCCACTGGTGTGTGGCCAGGGAGAGACCAACCTTTCCGGCATCTGACAGTGAGGAGAATGTTCACCAAGGGAAGGCTCAAGTGTTGGGGGAAGAATGTCAGCTTCCTAACTGTCACCTCTGCCATGAAGCCTTGCTAGCTTCAACCTGGAGGAATTCATTCATTCATTCATTCACTCACTCACTCACTCATTTATTCAGCAAGGGCTTTTGGTAAACCTTGCACTTTCACTATTTCAGGCCACCTAAGGTTATTATAATGGCTTATCCATTTCTCAGTATTGTCTGGCTAATTAGCCTCCCTCCCCTTCCTGTAACAGTGTGGGTCAAAGTGAATGTGGCTTTCCATCAGCATCTCAGTTTGGCAAAAGGCAAAGAATACGGAGTAGAATTTTGGCTCTGTCACTTACTGGCTACATGATCTTGAGCAAATTACTTAACCTTTCTGAGTTCAGTTTTCTAATTCACTAAATAAAGTAGACTGTACCTGTATTAGTCAGCTTGGGCTGTCAAACAATACCATATATGGGGGGCTTACACAACAGATACTAATTTTCACATAGTTCTTGAGGGTGGAAGTCCCATATCGAGGTAAGGCAAAGTTGGTTCCTGGTGAGCTCTCTCTTCTTGGCTATAGAGGGCTACCTTCTCTCTGTTCTCACATGGTGGAGAGAGAGACAGAGACAGAGACAGGAAGAGATAGAGAGACAGAGATCTTTCTCTTCTTATAAGGCCAGAGTCCTCTTGGGTTATTTAACCTTAACTACTTCTTAAAGACCCTGTCTCCAGATACAGTCATAGGGGGTTAGGGCTTTGGGTAGGGGACACAATTCAGTCCATAACAAATGGCATGGGGCCATTTCCCACAAGTACCTTCCTTGGTGGAGGAGGCAGGGCCAAAGGGAGTCCACCAGTCTAGTCCCAGCCCGCCCCACGGAGGAGCAAGTTCTGAGCTGAGTAATGCTCCTGTTAGTGGCACATTTCTTCTAGGGAGCCCCACTGTCCTTCCAAGCAGGAAGGGTGCTTCTTCCCTTCCTATCCCAAGGCTCTGAGGCCTCAGGGTAAATTAGCAGTTGCACAGATCCACCAGGGAAGGGCAGGGACTGACTTCTCCTACCTCTAGCTGCAGAGCTCCTTGCCAAAGCAAAGACAACTGGTTAGGCAATTCTTTCAGAATGAATGAGCCCTTAACCTAAATAACTCTGAAAGACCTCTCAAATGCCTCTTTTCGGAGTAGCAATGTCCTCCAACTTGGTGTTTCATACTCTAGAAACAGGGAAGGCCAGGGCTGGAGAAAAATCTGTTTTCTTCCCAGTGATGGAGATTTGCTTTATCAGGCACATTACTATTTTTAAAAGTGAAGTAAATCAACCTTCTTTTAAAACAATTGGGTTTATTTTACTTTCTATTGTTATATGCAGGGCTCTTTGCTACAAGCCACTCCGGAGAATGTGAGCAATGAAAGACACGTGCTCCTGGGTTGTCTTCTTGCTTTTGAAAAGCTTCCAATCTAGCTTGAAAGACAAAGCAGAGACATGGGAAAAGATTAATACAGCATGGGATGTAATAACATGAGGACAGCCATGAGCTGCCTTTCTGCACCTACTTCATATGGATCGTGGTGAAGTTCAAACGAGTAAGTGAAGGCCGGGGTGGTGGGGGGCCCAACAAATATTGGTTGAGTAGATGAATACACGCAAGCAGGCTTGCGGGCCAATGGGGGTGGGGCGCGGGGTCCACAGGAGCCAATGGAGTGGGGCACTGGGCCGAGGAGAGCAGCCCCCTTCCCACTCCCCCTTCCCCTGGCTGTGCGGGAGCTGTGGCTGTCAGTCACTTGAGGATCCCAGCTCTTTCCAGGTCTGCAAGCACTGGAATTACCCATCCATTTACAATGCTCACAGGCAACAGAGGAGCAGTTCATTTTTTTTTTCTTTTCCTTTCTACTTTTTGCCTTTCAATTGATAGAGCAGATGGAAATCTTGTTTCTCAATTACTCAGTGTCCCCATTTGATCTGAGTACATCTGGAAGGAGATTATTTGGATACATTTGCTTTTTAAAAATGAAAGTCAAAACAGACATGGAGTTGGGGGCAGGCTTTTTATCCTTTGTTTCTTCCCCTGCCTTCCCCATCAATACAGTTTCCCAAGAAAAACAAAGAAATAAACTTTCACAACATTAAGTCACAGCGGGGACTACTTCTGCTCCATTCCTCTCATCTCAAAATAAACTTAATTTATAAGGACTGGGGGGGGGGCTACAGTGATATTCTGCAATGCAAATAAAACACAGCGTGAATGCATACACAGGAAGAAAGTTTTGCTCTGTAAATATACCCAGGAAGTTCAGAGAGGCATAAAAAGTTGGGGCAGGCGCTAGAAATGATTACTTTGGAAATGAATTGCAGTTTTCCATTTTTAAGGGAACATATGTCGCTATGGTTTTTCTCTGCCAGGATTGACGAGAGGGTGGCCTTTTGCCAATGTTTTCACCCTGATTGATTTGGCTGGCTGTGTTGCATTGGAAATGCCCATGACAATGCTGTTCTTTGGCTATTTTCATTCCCACTGGCTTCTCTTCTTGCAGCCTGAGCAGCTCAGAGCTATGTCACCACCAACTGTAAATAACCATTTACCATTTATTTCCTCTGGCAATTAAAAAGTGTGCTAACCAAGCTATGACCGACCTGCCAATTGAAGCATGTCTCCCCTGCACTAGCCCCCCACCCCTGGCACCTCACTTTTCTGAAATTCCACTTACAAGCCTAGAAGCAAGGATGGAATGATAAATCTTTTCCTGACCTTTCTATGAAGTCAGAGGATGATATTTGGCCAAGGCAGGGATGTAGGACCAGCTCTCAATCAAATGGTGAGGGTAGAAAATGTCCTGGGCACTGCCTCCCTCCTTTCTCTGCAGTGGGACATGCTAGAACTCTCTGTGGACTCCCCATCTGCCATGGCCTTGTTCCTCCAGTCTGGAGGAAGAAGGCAGTCTGATGAAGGCCAAGGTGTTAGAGACCTAATGAACTGTCAATCTTAAGAATATTTAAATTTATTAAATTATGCCTATAAAGGGCGTGGCTTAACGGAAAGGCATGTTAATGGTGGGATTTTAGACACAGTAAATCTTGGACTGGGGGAGATATTTGGGGCCATGAAACACTTCTTGACACTTAAAAAGCAGACATTATTTACCTAATTTTCTTTTTTTATAAATATTTTATTTATTTATTTATTTGAGAGAGCAACAATGAGAGACGGAGAGAGAGCACATGAGAGGGGGGAGGGTCAGAGGGAGAAGCAGACTCCCCGCCGAGCAGGGAGCCCGATGCGGGACTCGATGCAGGACTCGATCCCGGGACTCCAGGATCATGACCTGAGCCGAAGGCAGTCGCTTAACCAGCTGAGCCACCCAGGCACCCCTTATTTTCTTAATTTTCTATCATCTGTGTATGTATGCATGTATGCATGTATCTATCTTTGATCCTGAGATTTTATTACTTATAACAACCAGATGACTATGCTCAGACATCTATGAGCTTGGGTCTCTCTTTGGGCCAGGTTAGGATGCTCCCAAGATGCTTTTCATACAACGCTCATGGAGTTCTGGCCTCTCATCCCTGTGGGTAAGGAAGGGTCAGGTCATGGGCAACGTTTGGAAAGAGACATTCATCTTTTGCAACCACTTTCTCTTTCCAACTTTTCCCTTCCTTAGGTGCTATTTGGGAACATTAAATGGCTCTTTTTTTTTCCTCATATTTGAGGCAAAATTAGGGTTACTGAGAGAAACTAATCATTAGATTATGAAAAGTTTTAGACAGAAGCCGAATCCCAAAAGTAAATGGGGGAGAAGCTTGTTATTGCACAGAATCAGCCAAAGAGAGACTGAATGGTTCAATTTAATTCTTTACAATGCTTTGAGTTGATTTTAAGGGCATTAAACACATTTTGATGAAGCTCAGTATTTAACCCAGAGTTCTTGCCCTAGTGGTTGAGGGATGGTCTCTTAGGCGGCATGATCAAGGGGGCTGGACTGTGGAGAGAAGAGCAAGGTTTTTCCAGGGGCCTTCTTCCTAGCAAATGTCATTAGATGATTTACCAGGGAGTCTGGTTGACAAGGAGATTGGACTGGCCACCTTGTTTTCTGTCTCTTTGGACCACCCCTGTAAAGAGAATGAAAATGTCATTCTTTCACCCCAACGTGGCATGCACTATATGTCTGGGACTGTTCCAAGTGCTTTCCCTTTTTTAACTCATTCAGGCATCCTAACAACTCAGTAATGTGGGTACTATTACTATCCTGACTTTATGAAGGGACTGAGGTACAGAGAAGTTCAGCGACTTGCCCAGAGTCACACATTTTATAAGCAGCACCCTAGGCCTTTGTGCCCAGGGTGTGGTTTGACTTTTGAGCCCACCCCTCTACCTCTCCTCTCATCCCTTCAGCCCTGATTTATGCTTCTCATCCATCTCTTATTCCACCCTGTCCTCTCTTATGGCTCGACCAACACTTGCCTTTTCTCCCGCCACATGAATTCCCTGGGATTCGGAATTGTGTCTTATGTTTGTATTTGCATTCCTTACAAGGTGTTGCTGGCACATAGTGGGTAAACATTACGTGTTTGTTAACTTTATTACAAGACCTTTAGAGTAGCTCCCTGGAAAAAGAGCATGTCACTGGCCCTGGGATTTCTTGCTCTAACTGTCCTCAGTCCCAGGGACTGGGCAGTGAGCTGGCCTAGGGCCTTCCCACTAGTGGAATCTGGAGAGGGGCCCCCACTTGGGCTGTGGACTGAAGTGGGCTTCTTGGGTTTCTTTCCTTTGTTCTGAATAATCCTAAAGTTGCCAGAATGCCTTAGGTGCAGATGAGATCAGAGAATCTGTGTGTTGAAAGAGAGCTCTGGAAAGTGCCTCCAGGTAAGTGACCATCTGACCTGCAGGACACAGGTTTGTTTTCTTCTGAAAGCTCTTTAGGATGGATGACAGGGCAATATTTCTCAGTCCTTCTTCACTGATATCTCCTTTTTATTCTTTCTTCTTGTGAGAGAATGTGAGCTCTCAGATACAGTTCAATATAGTGTGGAAGCATCAAATTAAAAATAACAGTAGAGCTCACACTTTGAAAGGAACAGCATGAGTAGATGTTCCCAGGCACCTAGGATGTGCTAATTTAACAGTTTTTCATTGATCTTGGCTCCAAAATGTGAAATAAAGTTATATAATTTTCCTTGTCAGAGAAAATTATCCTATAAAAGAAGAAAGAAATCCTATGAAATTTTGATAAATGATAGCTACTCCTTGGGACTAAACCCAAGGTGGGGCTTATCCACAAGTTCCCTTAAACAGGGCATTTAGTCATTAGTGAGCACTGTCTTTAAACATGTATGATACCACTTAATGGAGTCCTCTTGTAGGTATGTGGTATATCTCTGAGGCATATCTTACCAAAGGCATTTCTGTGGGTGTTGGGAAATCTATATTGTGGTGGTGGAGCATTTGAGGGTACTCAGAGCATGTGCACAAATATGAATGATCACCGTGGCTCATTACTGGAACCTACTGGAGGTCAGCAGCACAAGTATTATTGGCCTTATGTCTCATGGCAAGTAGATGGTAGGCCTGGGACTTGGGTCCGGGTCTTCTACCCTGAACTCTTCGCACTGCTCTGGGTAAGGTCCAAGTCCTTGGCTTTCTAATGATGTAATAAGGAAGGAGCCCAGAGACCCTAAGGAAATCTTGTCATCAACTTGTTCATTAATGTGGCTATCTCAATATCCTGTCCATTGAGAGTCAGCTTGCCTAGCAAATGGCTGCAGTACTGATTCTCTGTATTTTGGGAATTCTGCAATGTTGATTCAAGTGATTGGGGAGACAGAGTCACCATTCTGTTGAGAAAGTGACAACTTTTAGGTCTATCACTCTGACTGAATCACCCTAAGTGGCAAGTGGATCTTATTTCCTATTATCTTTAAAGGGCCAGGGGTGGCTGTCTTCCTGTAGGCTGCGGAAGGTCTGAGGATGTATGTGAACTTGGCAGATAGGATTGGTATTGGGGGATGTGGGGGAAGGGGGGAAGTGGTGTTGGGACATGAATATGTATTATCCAAACCCAAGACAGTCAACTTTTACTTAAAAGAAAAAAAAAAAGAGAGGCAGATATCATAACCATTGGCAAAGAATCTGGTTCAGTCTCAAAGGTATGTATCATTTATTGGGAAAAAAATTAGGACAGATGTTACCAGCCAAAGGCTTCATTCATCAAAGAATCTTAGTATAATCCTGGCGAAACTTCTGACTTCAAATTTAGCTGCATCATTGGAATAGGCCCATCAAGATGAGTATGCTGTAAGAGTATACCCTTAAGTAGATACATGAAATTACTTTATGGGCAGTCTTGTTTATTGGACATGTGGGGAAAATGTGCCAAACACAACCATCTCAGCTCTTGTGCAATGAGAAGCTGAGCTACTCTTTTTGGCCAGTCACTCTCCAGCATGTTCAAGTGCTTCTGGTTCCGTGAGCTAACATTTTGGGCCTTCTCTGTGCACCACACAGTGTCCTCAGCACTCTATGAGTCTGAAGGTATTTAATCTTCATAACATCCCTGTCAGAGAGGCCCTGTTGTCATCCCCATTGTGTAGGTGAAGATAATGAGTCATGGTGAAGTTAATTACCTTGCTCAAGGTGGCCCAGTTAGTAAGTGGGAGAGCCAACATTCAATCCCAGGTAGCCCAACACCATAGATCTTGTCAAGTACAAAGAAGAGGACAAGGGGTCACTGGAAGCCTAATTTTATGGCAGCTGTTGGATACCCACAGAGCCTCCTTCCCACTGGAGTTGTCTGATTGCAGGTGGGAATCACACAGCAGGTGAATCCAGGGTGGGGGTTTTATAACCCTAGGGCTGAGAGCTACAGAGTCAGAATGTGCCTTGTGTGTCTCTTTCCATGACAAAGACATTGTAGAGACATTGATGTTTGCATCACATCTGAAATCCCACAGTGCACGAGAGACACACAAATTAAAAGAGCTTCCTGACCCAATTTCTCAAAGGAGAGTGGAGTGCTGCTCTCCAAAGAAGGGCGGGAGCTGCTGCTAGGTGGGAAACAGCATGTGTCTGCTACAACATGCATCTAACTTGCCCAGCAGCAGCGTAGCAAGGCAGTAGCTACTCATGATATGGGCTAGGAGGTGGTCATGTTTGGCACCATTTAGATCTGCAATTGGTTCTGTCATGGGATCATCACTCCCTACTCAGATTTCAGCACTAAAATGTCAAACTGGCCTTTCCCCTTCCTCTTCCAACATTCATATCCTAAACTGGGCTCCCATTAACCTTTTTCATCTGCTTTCCCTATATCCAGTTCCCATACATTCTAATTTTTCCTTAGGAATATTCTAATAATTAGCTTTGGGAGCATAGATCCTATTATGTTACCCCAGCTAAAAAGCCTTTCAAACTTTCCTAATTTCTCTTGCATGCCTGTCAAGATTCTCTAAAATCTGACCCTCATCTAATTTTCTTCCCATGACTCCTCTTGACACATTAGGCGCCTCAGCTAAATGTTTAATTTATCTGCCTCCTTTTCTTTGCTCATACCATTTTCTCTATCTAGATTATTTCCCATCTTCCCCACAACAATCCCACTCATCTTCTGAAGATTACTCCAAATACTAATTCTCCATGATATCTTCACCACTCAGCTACATTTATCTATATGCTGTTGTCTTGTTCTCAACTCCTTTTTATGTGTGCATTATGTTTTCTATTGCTTAGGATACTTAGGATTGTAGAAAATAAAACTAACTTTAGTTAGCTTAAACAAAAAAAGAAGATTTATATATGGATGCAAGCAGTATCATAAGCCCATGGGCAGAGATGCAGTCGGTCAATATGGAGGTAACTAGAAACCAGGTTCACAGACTCTCTCCCTCTCTCTCTTGCCCTCATTTTTGTGTGTCTTTGTATGTCTGCCCCATTCTCTCTCTTCTTCTGTGGATTGATTTTCTCTCTTCTCTGTTCTGTAGGGTAGAAAATGCCTACCCTTTCAGCTATAGAGTCTGATATGATTTTTAGTTCAATCCTTAACTTCTAAGAGAGTAATATAATTAACCCATCTTGAGGAAGATGTCAGCCATAGGTCCAGTGAGCTATGCCTAATGAATGGCATTACCATACAAACATGGCTGTTAGGATCCATCCATCCTGTTAGGAATGGGGATGAGCTTCCAAAGAAGTGGGGCATCAGGCCATGGAACAGATACATAATTCCAAAAAGTTTATACTGTAGTCCCCACTAGTTTGTGATGACCTCAAGAATATAAAGTATATTCTCTCCTTCATTTGTTTCATTTTCTCCAAACTCTTATCTTCCCAGGGCTTAAAGATGGCTAGTCTTATAGTGGTACTCAGTAAAATAAGGCAATTTTGTTAATAACAATGCATATAGAAGAGTAACAAGTTGTTAGATGTCACTGTTTACTCTTGTCTCAGATTTTTGGTAAAGATTTCAGAGAACAAATCAACTGGTACCAAGTATTCACACTCACAGGGCAATGTGCTAGACCAGGCCACCTGGGCAGAGTACATACAGAGGCTATGTACAGAGGTCTGTCCTTATTAGCCCATCATCCACTTCCGACAGCTATGGGAGGGACAAATTGAAGAATTGAAAGAAGGGGTTTCTTTGGAGGGAGATGACAGGGTTCTGTGCATTTCTTCTATCAGTGTTCGTCAGTACTTTTCAAGCCAAATGATTTTAATGATCTTAAGCAAAATAAAGAGGAGTTTCAAGAAAACTATTCAGAAAGGCTGGCCCCATTCCTCGGAATTTGGAAGACCAGAGAATGATACCTGCATCTTGTTTAAAGTGACTAAAGGCAGGTGGATGGAGCTGTGGCTGGCTCACAGCCCTGGAACAGCGGAATCAGGAAAGAGATGACTGAAGGGCTGACAGTGGAACAAGGGAGCACATTGCCTCAGAGATGGGCCTCACAGGACGGGGAGGGCTTGGGTGCCTGCCCGGGAAGATCATCTGGATGGCTGACACAACCCTAACTGAGAGATAAATCTCTGGAGATGAAGTGGGAGGCAGAAGCAATCAGCCAGAGGAGAAGCACTGTCTGAGGCAACAAAACGGGAGTCAGAAGTGGAGAATCCCCAGAAGCCAGCAAAAGCACATCGGGAGAGGAAGAGTCTGCGTCAGACATCTGCAATGGCAGAGGATGCATTTCCAGACCTCAGCTGTGCCAATAGCTAGTGAGCGGAAGAGGATGTGGAGCAGAGAAGAGGGGCAGGGGAGCGAAGGTGACCAATGCTCCTCCTCCGCTGCAGGCGTCCAAGGCCGAGGCAGGTGCCAGGTAGGGAGCAGGAGGTTAAATTAAATAACAGTTTGGATATTATATTGCCCTATGTTAAAGTTGTATGATTATAAGCTTGGACTGGGTTGATGTTCTGCTATTACCAGTTTTCACTGGACATTTTCATATCTAAAAATGGCCAAAGCAGAGGGACTGTGCCCCAAATTTTATCAAAAGAGGTAGTGAGGAATGACGGTGTTAATCAAACTTACGGAAAGATGAAAAAAATAAAACTGTTTTTTTTTTTTTTTTGCTGGCTTCCCATTAAATCCAGCCCATTCAATAAGACATTTCTGAAGTTCAAAAGGAGATCTCTGAAGGCAGGGGTGGGCAGAGGAAGTATCATGGAATAGGAAAGTCTTTTTTTTTTTTTAAGATTTTATTTATTTGACAGAGAGAGAGACACAGCAAGAGAGGGAACACAAGCAGGGGGAGTGGGAGAGGGAGAAGCAGGCTCCCCGCCGAGCAGGGAGCCCTATGCAGGGCTCGATCCCAGGACCCTGGGATCATGACCTGAGCTGAAGGCAGACACTTAATGACTGAGCCACCCAAGTGCCCTGGAATAGGAAAGTCTTGAGCTGTGTCTTAAAAGAATGGGCTGGGTACAGATAGATGTCTGACCTTGTTTTCCCTGATGAAACATTTATTACAAAAACTCATTTTCTGTGCTCCTTGGCTCTTGGAACCTCTGAAGATTCTACCACCACTCCAACTGAGTTGGCGAAAATGGACTGCAAATTTTATGCTATTTACTGGCCACTGGACAGAGAGCTTAGCTTGACAGAAAGAGCAATACCAGTCAAAATGTCACTTGAAAGGCTTCCTGCATTCTGAAGTATCTTCTTAAAAGGCAGAATTTGGGTAAACTTTGGAGATAGGTCAACATCCAAGGCAACATCTCTCTATTAAATGACTTGCTGTTGATTTAAACAGCTATATTATTTGGATTCAGATACCCCAAATTTGGTCAGTATAATACATACATCACTGAAGGAGACTGATGGATGATAGAACATAAGAACATATTTCTTCCAAGGAGTTTTCACATCTGATCTCATTAGGTCTGTGTGAGGAAAAGAAGGGTGGGGATCGCTTTTCTCATTTTATGAGGGAATTGTGTGACTTTTCATGCTGACACTATAATATGTCATAACCTACTAGGATGAATTTCATTATACTAGAAGTTCTTTCTCTACGAAGAGGTATCTGAACTCTACCTGTACCAGGCTGAAGTGCTCCAGGGGCTGGAGTAGCCCAGCTCTTATCTATTTCCATCACAACATGTGGTGGACTGCAAAAATGGCCACAGATCATTCCCCTCCTTCCTCTATCCCAGTCCTTTGATAGTGCCACCCTACCCTGACTCTGGCCTTGAGACCACCTTGGGCTCATGATACTTAAGCAATGCAACGCATGCAGAGGTTTAAAGAGCACTTTTTCTCTTGCTGTGCTTGGAACCCTGAGACCATGAGATGAATGAGCACATGTAAGCTGTTACGGGATGAATTGTGTCCCTCTACCCAACTTCATCTGTTGAAGTCCTAACCTCCAATGCCTCAGAATGGGATTAGATTTGGAGATAGAGTCTTTAAAGTAGTAATTAAAGTTAAATAAGATGACTAGCGTGGGCTCTAGTCTAGAGGGACTGGGGTCCTTATAAGAAGAGTAGATTAGGATATGGACACACACAGAGGGGAGACCACGGGAAGACAGGGACAAGATGGCCATCTATCAGCCAAGGACAGAGGCCCTCAGAAGACACCAAACCTGCTGCCACCTTGAGCTTGGATTTTTAGCCTCCAGAATTGGGAATGAATAAATAAACGTCTGTTGCTTAAGCCCCCCAGTCTCTGGTATTTTGTTACGGCAGCCCTAGCAAAATAATCCACAGGCTTAGTGGAGAGTGAGAGGCCATGTGGAGGAGAACTGAGGTGTACGCCAGTCAAAAGCCAGCTAACACTCAGACACATGAGTGAGGCTCTTGTGGGTTTGCCAGCTGCCCATAGGTGGACCAGAAAGCTGGGCAGAGATAAACTACGAGGGTTGGCAAGAGAAGACAGGAGTCCCATACGCCTTTCATTCATAGAGAGGATTCCTGGGCTCATGATGAGTTTGTGTTCCAGGATAGGAACATAACACCCTGTTGTGTCCCCTTTCCATAGGTAACAGGGATAGTCCCTTTGTCAGTGGAGGGAAAAATAGTCTATTTGGGCACTGGTCAGTCTGGAAATAGGAGTCAGCTTTTCTTTTAGGAGGTCTTCTAGAAAGCCAGCTGCCAAGGATCAGGTACTCTCAAGGCTGGGGCACTGCTGTGGAAAGTGAATCTTAGTGCAGGCTCTCCCACTGGGAGAGGGGGAGCCCCTGGACTACACTGGCTCCTTGTTTGGGAAACCAAGAGTAAACTCTGAGGATAGTTTTTGGATAGCCTCTTCATACCACACTGATTATTTGTGGAAACCCAAGCAAAACCAAAGAGAAAGAAGAAGCAGCCTATGTGTTAAATTCTTACTGGATTGTCCGTTGTGAAAAGGCAAATTTTTGTTTTCCTGGTTAACTGATAGAAGAACCAAAGGTACTATGGTGGAACTCTGCCATCCCTCATACATAAAGGCCATTGGTTTTTTCCACTTAGAGGGAAGATCTGCCCTGAGCCATTCACTGATTCTCACTACGTTTCTCTATTGTTCAAGAGAGCACTATTTCTAAAATGGCTGGTTGGATTTAGGGGTGCTGTCAACGGTTGGAGAATATAGGGAAGTGAAACTGACTTACATGGAGGTGTAAGTTCACCTTGATCTTCCTGCTCTCTCTCAACAAATCGAGCTAACTCACCTTTGTAGTACGTTCCCAGTGTCCTATCTTTAATATGGACCATGAGGTCTGAAGTTCATTCTTTAATTTGCCCTTTCACTTTTAGCCTCAGAAATTGGTGTCCATAAAAATTACTCTCTTGAATGATTTCTGCTTAAAATCAGCACAACAGAAAAAAAATTGAATATTCTTTCAAAAGAGCTTCCTCCTTCCTTCCTTCCTTCCTACCTTCCTTCCTTCCTTCCTTCCTTCCTTCCTTCCTTCCTTCCTTCCTCCCTTCCTTTTTTCTTTTCCTCCTCCTGTATAATTTAAAGCATCATAGGATCAATAGGTAATTCTGACACTTCAGGAGCAGTTCTTCATATCGGGTTCATTCTGATATCTGCTGAAAACTACCAACATTTCAATTTCAGTGGGAGTCCTTTGAAACCTGCTTAAAGATAATGTGTCTGAAGCCTTTGATTTGGAAAAATGGAAAGAGGAAAGAGAAGTGACTAGATTTTCAGAAGTTTTTGAGATCAAAGGATTTGGTTAATCCTTTATGTGGTTTGCTATAACTTTATAAGTCAGGTGTGTAAGGTTAGTCTCCAGAATTTTTTCCTACTGATACTCTGCCACCGCGTACTTGGCGTTTTCTGGGTTATAGTCTCAGAAGCCCATAGGTTCTCTTGGGTTGGGTTAAATTCAGTGGTTCTCACTTGGGCTGCACATTAGAATCACTGTGGAGCTTTACAATTTATGGATGCCCACAGTGCATCCTCAGAGTAATGAAACCGTATTTTGCAGGGGTTGGACCTGGGAATCAGCAATTTTAAAGCTCTCCAGGGTATGATGTGCAGTCAGGATTGAGAACCCTTGAGATAAGTGAAGCAAAGAAAATAGGAAAAGCATCCCCACCTAATTATTCTTTTAAGAATAGCTGAACACATTAAAATAAGCTGTGAAAATATTAATATAAACATTGCCTTTAAATAGAATGTATGGTTTATTTTTTTTAAGATTTATTTATTTTTTTAGTCGAGAGAGAGAGCATGAGGGGAGTGGGGTCAGAAGGAGAAGCAGACTCCCGGCTGAGCAGGGACCCTGCCCCCACCCCAAGGCGGGGTTCGAGCCCAAGACCCTGAGATCATGACCTGAGCCGACACTTAACCAGGTGAGCCAACCACGGTGCTCCTAGAATGTATAGTTTAAATTAGATTGTAAAATTTAAAGAAATATAAAGACCTATGTGTAATTAGGTTCCATTTTAACAGAATAACTTACGGTTTCCAATCATTGCTTGATCTTTTCTTCTGTAAAATTTTATGATTTTTCACCCTGGTTTTCTCCGGCTTGAACAGGTATTACTCACTTAGAATCTTTCTGCTTACAGCCCAAACCTTCCTTCTCTGTGAATGTGCACTGATATTTAAGATCTCCCAATGAGCTGGTGTCTGCAGGGCTTTTTCCTCTGCCACAGGGTCAATTAACCCTCTTCGTGGAGGTGTGAACTGAAGCATTGTTGCTGGAGGTGTGGTTTGTGGACCACCAGCAGCAGCCCACCTGGGAGCTTATTACAAATGCACAGATTTAGACCCTACTCTAGATCCGACTGAATCAGTCTGCAATTTAACAAGATTCTATGTAATTCAGCGGCACGCTAAGTTTGAGAAGTACTGAACTAGACTTACTCTTTGTGCACATGCCTTTATGCCTGGCTTTCCCCTGTCCTTCCCTTGTAGGCATAGAAAGAGAAAGGTTTCTATCAAAAACGTACAAGTGCATGTATGATTCACACTTTTCTAGTGAGAATAGATTTTTAGAGCTCTGTGGTTACTTTGCTTCATGCTAATTACTTGCTCTTAAAAGTAGAAGTCATATTTCCAGGTGAACTACAGCTTCGGTTTTACTAGTGACAACAAGAATTAAGCAGTGACCTGATTGATAAAGGTTGTTTTACTGAGGATTAGGGGATGTGTTCTGGGCATGCTGCTTTGAGGACAAGTGCCTTGGCTCCAGAGTCGAAGCTGTGTCTCCTCACATGCTGTCCTTTGCTTGCCAGCATGGGGTGCGGTTGTGTCACCTGTAAACCTGAATTTCCTTGCTTAGTAAACTGGATGAGGACCTGCCATCCCTTTTGTCTTGGCACGTTTCCTCTTTACCTTCCCTAGCTCACACGTTCGCTTATGTGCTTCGGGTATTTGGTCGATCTGTCAGTGTTGGACAGAGATGTAAGGAATGTCCAGGGTTTGGTCCTTGGATGTCTTTTCTCATTTACATTCACTCTCCCTCCAACTCCTCATGGCTTTCCTATTCATACGCAGATGGATTCTAGATTTATGTCTCTATTTTGGGCCTCTTGTAGAAGTCTAGACTCTCAAATCCCACTGTTTCTTGTCTAAATAGTGTCTCAATGTCACAAGTCTGAAATTGAATTGTAATCTTCTTTGCAAACCTGCAACTCTGTTCCTCCAGTCACTCAGTCCAAAACAGAGGAGTCAGCCATGACTTTTCTCTTTCCCTTCACCCACTCCCAATTCATCAGTAAGTTCTGAAGGCTCTTTCTTCAAAACATACCCAGAGTCTCACCACTTCTCACAGGCCCCCCCATGCCCCGCCCCCTTCACTACTGCCCCAGACAAGCCATCTTCTGTCACCTGGATTGTGCTATCCCCATCCTGCCTCTGCCTTTGTCCTTCTCCATTCTATTCAGGACAAAGCAAGCTCTCTGCTCCAAACTTTCCAGAGCCCGTATCTCGGTAAAAGCCAAAGTCAAGGTCTCAGATAACTTTCTGAACTTATCTCCAACTACTGTCTCCCTGGCTAACTGTGGCAAGCTGAGGTCTCTGGAAGTAGATGCTGGAGACAGAATTGGTGGGGCTGGATATTTATTAGGGTTTAACACCCAGAGAAAGAAGTGGGATGAAACAGGATGGGCCAAAGAGAGAGAAGTCAAAGTGAAGTAGCCCAGCAAGGCTGCAGGCTGCCTACAAGGCACTTGGGGGCACATGTGGCCTGCCCCAGTTGACTCTTATAAGGCCCTGAAGCCTGCACCTCTATACCTGCCTCATCAAGTATTTGCTGAGTGCTGCTCTGAGAAGGGTGTGACCTGGTGGAAGGTGACTCTGCAGCTGAGGCACAGGCAGAGGCTGTCTCCTGACCCCTTGGGTAGTGCTTGTCCATGTCCACTGAACTCTTCTCCAGCCACACTGCCTTCTTTAAACAAATCCAGCCCACTCTGCCTCAGGGCCTTTGCACTTGCAGGAAAACAGTTTCACCAGAGCTTTTTCATATGTCTTGCTCCTTCATCTCTTTCAGGCTTCTGCTTAAATGTCACTTTGTGAATGAGGTCTGTTTCCCATGATCATCCTATTAAAAGTAAGAAACTTATACCCTTTAATTTTCTCCACAGAATTTATTGTCATTTGATAGACATACTATATATTTAATCCCTGACTTGTTATTGTCTATATCTCCACATAAAACGTAAGCCCCAAGAAAGCCCTATCACATTGTAGGCGCTCAATAAATATTTGCTTATTGAATGAATAATGAAGGAAACTTTTGTTTATATGGGTTTGAATTGTAATATATATCCTTGTATTGATGGAGTATAAGAATAACTTTAATCCCATGACATCAGTAAAATCTTTTGGAACCACATTTATTAAAAAAGCTTTCTGGTATTGATTCCACGAATTTGGGTATGATCAACATTAGAATTGGTGATATTTTGAGATGTTTAAATTTCTCCCTAAAAAATAACAAGTGTCAGATAATGAATACTGTAGAATTGTAAGTTTTAAAGACATTAATGTTTAAAATGTTAAAGAAAATACGTGTTGTAGAAGTACTTACATCTCCACTATAATAGATTAATTTAAAATCATTCTCTTTTATTAACAAAAGCAAATTCTCCATCTTTACTTGGCAAATGATCCAGGAAACACTCATGGATATCATTGATGTTACTGTCATGACTGGAAAGAAATAAAAATGTACCTCAAATTCTTTATATTTTTCCTTAATCCAGACAAATCTTCCCATAATTAGTTCTTTTGTATCTTTGCTGTTTTACTAAGTATTTCATGGGGGAAAGGGTGACCCCAGCCTGCAGAGTTAGGAATGAGCTGAGGCCCATCTGGTTTGATGTTGTATGCTCTTTGTTAATATCATTGCTGGTTTTTGATTGTTTGGTTGGGTTTTTTTGGTTACATTTGTTCCAAATTGGGAAAATTATCAGCAGCTTTATTTTTTATTTATTTTTTAAATATTTAATTTATTTATTTGAGAGAGAGAGCTAGCAAGGGGAGGAAGGGACGCAGGGAGAGGGAGAATCTCAAGCAGACTCCCCACTGAGCACGGAACCTGAGCTGGGGCTCAATTTCATGACTCTGAGATCATGACCTGAGCCAAAATCAAGATGCAGAGGCTTAACCAACTGTGCCACCCAAGCGCCCCAATCATCGTGCCTCTGATTCCCCACTCTTCCTGCTTCCTGCTCCTCCCCAGATCATCTACATTCCTCTGTCCTGCTTTCTCCTTAAATGACCCAAACATTTCCTTATATAACTTGAGTCACTCTCCCAAGGTGGGAAAAAAAATTCAAATCCAAATGTTTGAAAACCGCTCAATGGTTACCTCTAGTTGATTGCCAAGGTGATTCAGCAAGTTCTCTTTCCTTTTCTATCTCTTCATTGGTAATCTTGCTGTCTCTAGAATGACCTTTTCTATAAACTTCACTAAGAAGATCTCTTAAAGGTTAAGATCTCTTAACCCTTTTGGGCCAATGCAAACTACATATCATAATGGAAAAGAAAATAACAAAGTTGTAACAATTTTGACATCACTGAATCATTGACAAGTGAGTTTTGTGCAGAATTTTCCTGCTGATGAAGCCACCTTTTCTGACATCCCATTAGATGGGTAGAGAGGAGCTGGTCATAAGCTAACTCCAAATATTTTCTTCTGGCTTCTTCACCTTCAAATGATTCCTTCCTTCCCTTCTTTAAACACGTTCAAATATTTTTGAACTGTTCCTGTTCAGGAAATGCAATCTTTTGAATTCCTACCAAGCTGAAGGTTTTGTTTTGAAAGAGGCTATGCTGGTTTGTCCTTATTTTCTTTAGTTCATGTTGTATAGATAGAGTTTCCACCACAGAAGTATTAACTGTAACACCATCATGTACATATTTCATCTACACAGAGAGTCCTGGTCCAGGATGGGACTCTTGCAACAGAATCTTTGCTTTGCTTGTTGTCATTTTCTTCCACTTACCGAGTGAGAAAAATATGCTTTCTGAATGATTCAAATTAAAACCTTAATGCTGGGGTGCCTGGGCTGCTTAGTCAGTCAAGCAGCTGCCTTCGGCTCGGGTCATGATCCTGGGGTCCTGGGATCAAGCCCCACGTCCAGCTCCCTGCTCGGGGGAGAGCCTGCTTCTCCCTCTCCCTCTGCCTGCCACTCTGCCTACTTGTGCTCTCTCTCTGTCTGTCAAATAAATAGATAAAATCTTAAAAAAAAACAACAAAAACAATGCCCTATATCACTTTCCAGATATATTTCAGGTTAAAGTTTTTTTTAACTTAAAAAAATTAAAGGTTTTGGTATTTTACCAACAAAATAGCACTATTTTGGCAAAAAAAGATTGCACAGAAATCCAAAATGCCAGACACCCATCACAATTGTAAGTCAATACATATTCGTTGGGTAAATTTGATAAGAGTTTAACCCTTCATTAGTCTGGTACTTTGACCCTCATACAGTGTTACTTCCATTTCACAAAGGAAGAGAGAGAGGGTCCAAGAAATTAGGGAATGTACCCAGGGTCATAGAGCCAGAAAATAGTGCACTTGACATCTGTGCCCAGCTTGGTCTTCTGCCTCCAAAGACATTTTTTCTCTACATGGGTGAGACCTTGCATTAAGTCCCACTGCCTGTCAGGGTAGGTGTTCAGAGTGAGGAGATGACATTATCTTACTAGGGTCCCAGGGGCACAAACACTTGGAAGAAGGGCTTTGGATGGGCTTTAAGGGGCCCCTCCCCATGCTCCCTCCTTCCTTTCCT